GTAAGTTCTACTATCTTAATTATCAACTAACAATTATTGATTGCATAGCTGGAGGAGTTTTTACTGTAAGTTCTACTATCTTAATTATCAACTAACAATTATTGATTTCATAGCTGGAGGAGTTTTTACTGTAAGTTCTACTATCTTAATTATCAACTAACAATTATTGATTTCATAGCTGGAGGAGTTTTTACTGTAAGTTCTACTATCTTAATTATCAACTAACAATTATTGATTTCATAGCTGGAGAGTTTTTACTGTAAGTTCTGCTATCTTAATTATCAACTAACAATTATTGATTTCATAGCTGGAGAAGTTTTTACCATCTTATTTCTTTATATATCTTTTTGTGTTGTGAATTTCATTTAGGACCATACCAGTTTTGTATTTTACTGAAAGTGTAAGTCTTGTTTTTAGTTTTAATATAACGTAACATTAAAGGACAACAATGAACCTTTTGGTCTGTTTAAGCCATTCTAAACCAAAGAAAAAAACTCAGAGTTAGCCCTAATCATTGAAATATTTATCAAGCTTTTCCTTAAACTTCCTTAAATTAAGTGAATCTAAAGGCAATCTGTTCCAAAAGCTGACTACCCTGTTAAAAAATAAAATTGTCTTAGCTGAACATGACTCCTACCTTGCTTATGTGCCCGCTAGTCCTTCCATTTTCACCATTAAGTATGGAAAAAGTTCATGCATTAACTCTATAAATTTTTATACACCTCAGTCAGACTCCCCTCAAATTCTTTTTTTTTTTACAAGGTAAAACAAGTTCAGAGATCTTAACTTATCCTCATATGATAACATCCCAGGTATTATCGTAGTAGCCATCTTTTGAATGTTTTCCAACAATTCAATGTCCTTCCTAAGATAAGGAGCCCAAGACTGAACACAATACTCCAGATTTAGCTAACTAATAACTTTTTTTTATTGTTTTACTAACATGTTTTTTGTTTTGTGTTGTAATGTTTACCCACCTTTTTATTATGTTGAGCCACAATTTTTTCTATGTGTTTCCTATGCTGTAAGTCTTTCACAATTGTTTTTAGCTTATACCACGGATTTTATGAGCCTGTTTTTTGTACCATCCCCAGTTTTTCCTCATTATTTTCTTGTTTTGCAATGTTTGTTTAAAGATCTTTGTGAATGTAACTCTTATCTGATGATGACTCAATACTATGTATTAAGATGTTATCATTAAAATCAGAACATATCTACTGTAAAAGTTGCTATTATTGTATTTTTGAATTAATTATTCAGTCCAGTAGGTTCCTTAATAAACATTAATTTGTTTGAGTTTTCTTAGTATTTAATATTTATAGTTGGTTTCATTTGATGATTTCATAAGTATTGTAATTGTGATAAGATGAGGCAGTTTTTTTCTTGTGGCATCTTGATGTTCTTTGACTTATTGTTTAATAGAGAAAAAAAAGAATACCTTTTTTCTTCAGATAATAATAATAAACTTTTTATTTCAGCCAATGTTTTGCTTTTCCAGCTTCATCAAGGCTAGCATTATAATAATTTTCAATGTTTCTTTTTTCTATGCTTTTCACTTAATGTTTTCTGTAATGATTGCTTATTTTTCTGTCTCCATTCTCTTTTTCTTTTTCAAATATTTTTTTACAACATAATTTCTCAAATGAAGTTTTCTTGCCCTTTTTTAACCTAAAATATTGGATCTACTTTATCTTTTTGTTTTATGAAGATATTTGTCAACCAGTGTTGATCAATTCTATGGTTTCATTCTTATACTTTTCTGTTTTTTTTTTTCAACAGTGAAAGTTTCTTTTTATTGTATAACTCTGTTCTTTAGGTAAGAACCATTATACAAATGTTTAGTTTTTTTGTTGGTTAATGCATGTATATAATTACTTTAGCAAATTAGGACCCTTATTGATCTACTTTTTAATATTTTCTACCAAGAAATATTTAAAAACATTAACTTTCAGACTGGAAATGCCATTGTCTTGTTGCTTTATCACATGGCTAAAAACCCAGATGTCCAGGAAAGGTTGTATCAAGAAATCTGTCAAGTTGCTCCTGATGGAGAGATTACATCTGAACGTCTTGCTCGGATGCCATACTTAAAGGCTTGTGTTAAAGAAAGTTTTAGGTAAGCAGAAATTAAGTCTTCATGTAGTCATTAGGTCCATCAAGTAACACAAATAAAATGAAGATTGAGTCACTAAATCAATCAAGTAATACAAATTGATTGCATATCAAGCTACTAAGTACATCAAGTGTTACACAAAGAGAACACTATTTGTAGGTTGTTTTAAACTTACCAAATAGATATGTGTAACTAAGTGAAGATACTAACATACTGAGTTATAGCTTACATGTGTATTACAAAGAAAATATGCATCCTGAAAAAAATCATTAGCATAGTTCTTTTCATTACTTACATTTTGTCAGAGCCCTTACTACACAACTGTGAGGTAGAGGCGAAAAAAAGTATTACTAGTTCAGTCCACTTTTACTTTTGTGTGAAACTTTTCCTAATAATGTTGACTACTCAGGCCTCTTTTATTCTTGTGTGAAACTTTTCCATTTTAATGTTGTCTGCTCAGGCCACTCTTATTGTTCAGTGAAACTTTTCCTTCTTAATTTGGTCTGTTCAGTCCACTTTTGTGTGAAACTTTTCCTCTTCAACGTTGTCTGTTCAGTCCACTTTTATTGTTGAGTGAAACATTTCCTCTTTAATGTTGTCTGTTCAGTTCACTTTTGTGTGAAACTTTTCCTCTTCAATGTTGTCTGCTCAGGCCATTTTTATTGTTGAGTGAAACATTTCCTCTTTAATGTTGTCTGCTCAGGCCACTTTTATTGTTGAGTGAAATTGTTTTCCCTTTTAATCTTGCCATATTGTGAATTTTGTGTTTTCTTTAATCTTTTTTTCTGGACAATAAAATAAGCATTTTACATATGAGTGAAGTATAAAACTGTCTTTCTCCTTCATTATATTTTGACATTTATATTCAAGTGGATCTGAAAATATGAAATAATGCATTTCTTTTTGAAAGAGCAAGAAAAAAGCTATTTTGATTCATCGTGTAAACTAGATCTGCCCTTTTTATTCTATAATGTTGATAATCCTTTTCAGTGTAATAAAAAAATATAAAATACCTGATGGGTATAAATATGGCTACTGGTACAAAAATCTGTTATTTATTAAGATTGTTGAATAGAAATGCTTTATTCAAATATTTAATTCATCTCCTTCATAGACTCAGTCCTACTATTCCAGGAATTATGAGAATTTTACCTGAAGATGTATGTCTTTCTGGTTACCAAATACCAGCTGGTGTAAGTGTTGCTTAATTTATAATTTATGTAGTATTTAATTCAACAACCTCCTGGTACAGATTATGAGACAAATGATTTTTACAGGATATCAGAACTTTTTCAAAACTATTGCATCCACATCTCAATTATTTTTCAAAAGTAATGAATAACTATAGTACGGGATCCAGTTTTAGTTTACTGTTAGTTTTGTCTCCCATCTATAGTTAATGCAAGTTGTGTCCACTTGAGTCTATAGGATAGCATTATAAGTTTCTTTCAATTACATTAATTGTCACATTTATCATTGTCGTTATTTGTTGCAAGTCCTATTATTACAGTATCTTCCTTTAATCTTATTGTCAATTACTCATTTCAGCTAGATTTTAAGGTTTAACTTTATTATTTCTGGCTGATTGCTCTATAGTTTTACCATTTGTATAGGGTACAGTTAAAGTTGGATTAGCTGTGTTAAACATAGCTCATAGAATGTTTAATATTTTATTTTTCTGTTCAGTATAATAAATTTGTTTGTTTTAAATACACTAAATATTTCTACCAGTTATTTTGCAATCGTTTTATTCATTTTTTTTCATAAACATTAGTTTTTATTGTACTGTTTGTACTCTCCTACTCCTCCACTATGTAGTTACACAGTAACATGTTGTAGCTGTACTATCTCTACTGTCCTTCTGTTGAAATCTACAGTTAAACAGTAACATGTCATAGCTGTACTATCTTTCTATTAAACTCTACAGTTAAACAGTAACATGTCATAGCTGTACTATCTCTGCTGTCCTTCTGTTGAAATCTACAGTTAAACAGTAACATGTCATAGCTGTCCTATCTGTACTGTCCTTCTGTTGAACTCTACAGTTAAACAGTGACATGTTGTAGCTATACTGTCCTGATACTCAACTCCACAGTTACAGAGTAACATGTTGTAGCTGTACTATCTGTACTGTTCTTCTAGTAAAGTCTACAGTTACACAGTAACATGTCCGAGCTGTACCATCTGTACTGTCCTTCTATTGAACTCTACAGTTAAACAGTGACATGTTGAAGCTGTACTATCTGTACTGTTCTTCTAGTAAACTCTACAGTAAACAGTAACATGTTATAGCTGTACTATCTGTACTGTCCTGCTACTCAACTCTACAGTTAAACAGTAACATGTCCTAGCTGTACTGTCCTGCTGTTGAAATCTGCAATTAAACAGTAACATGTCATAACTGTACTATCTGTACTGTCCTGCTACTCAACTCTACAGTTAAACAGTAACATGTCCTAGCTGTACTGTCCTGCTGTTGAAATCTGCAGTTAAACAGTAACATGTCATAACTGTACTATCTGTACTGTCCTGCTACTCAACTCTACAGTTAAACAGTAACATGTCATAACTGTTCTGTCCTGCTGTTGAAATCTGCAGTTAAACAGTAACATGTCATAACTGTTCTGTCCTGCTGTTGAAATCTGCAGTTAAGCAGTAACATGTTATTACTGTACTGTCCTGCTGTTGAAATCTGCAGTTAAACAGTAACATGTCATAACTGTACTGTCCTACTGTTGAAATCTGCAGTTAATCAGTAACATGTCACAGCTGTACTATCTGTACTGTTGTTCTGGTATAGTCTACAGTTAAACAGTAACATGTTGTAGCTGTTCTATCTATACTGTCCTTCTAATAAACTCTACAGTCAAACAGTAACATGTAGCTCATGTTATGGTCTAGTTTGTTGATATAGTTGACATTACCATCAAGTTTGTTCATATAGCTCACGTAATAGTCTAGTTTGTTGATATAGTTCAGGATACCATTTAGTTAATGTGAGAGTGCCCAACTGATGAAAACAATGAGTTTTCTTCTTCTACTGTCTAGTTTGTTAATATAACTTGCATTATGGTCTAGTTTTATTGATGTAGTTCAGGCTACCGTCTAGTTTGATATAATTCAGGCTACTGTCTAGTTTGTTAATAAACTTAAAATAAGACCCAAAACTCGAGCGCTTTCGAATAGTTGACTATTCTTCTTCTTTGTTCTACTGAAGAAG